ATCAATAAAGTTTTCCGATTCTGATTCAAACGTGAATAATGTGAATGGATTTGTGTAATTACATATTTTAGCCACAAGATGGCGGAACTGAACAGTTTTGACAAGGAGCCTGGTTCTTATTGAGTTTAAACAAATGTGTAAAATCAGTTGTCTTGGTTTTCTTTAAATTTGTTTTCCTCAAACTCTAGACTATTACGATGTGTTTTTTTTTTTATTTTGTTATTGCCAAGAAAAAGCAACAAGATACAGGGTTAAAATGAARAATAACTGTTTCTAACATATTGTAAATTTCTCAGGGAAGATAAATGAAAATAACATAAAACAATTTCACCTGCTGTTGCATGATTAAAACTTAATCAAAGTAAGGTTTAGAAAATTTGAAAGTGAAATGACCAACTTAAAATTAAATTAGTTTACTTTCAGAAACAGCCTGAAAACAGTCAAACATACATTTAATTCAGTTTAAATGTCTTGGAGGTTTTATATTTTTACATTCAAACATATTTGTTTGCCCACATCACGTGACTCGGGCTGATTTGTTTACATTGACTTTGGTCCCGCGTGTTAGAAATGCCTTTTTTTAATCTGGAAAACTACTTGTTATCTTGAGTAACTTATAATTAACAACACAAACACTTGTTTTTATCTTGTTTTTGTGTAGGCCTCCCGGGCCCCTGGTGGTGTCGGGCGGCCCTGCGGCTCCAGGAGCGGAAGGAGGAGTGTGTTTTGTGGGCAGGAGGAGGTCGGGACTCCTATCAGCGGCAGTTTGGGAGAACCTGAGCGGAGAGAACTGCTTCCGAACAACGGGCGAAGTCGCGACAAGGTGTCCGCAATGAGTTGGGGAACGGAGCTGTGGGTGAGTYTGAAGTCTTTTTTGTGTTTTGTTTGTTTCTCCGTCGTTTTGTTTCTGACGACGGGAACCGTGGAGACTTTTTTTTTTTTTTGGGAGCGGGGAGGAAGAGAAAGGTGCCGTGTTACCTTCAGCTTTGTGTAACGACGCTAGCCTGGCCGGCTGCGCTGTTAGCCGGAGCTAACCTGCGGTGACAGCAGCGGAACAAAAGACAGGGAAGACCCCACAGAAACCCCCGGGTCAGGCTGGGCACAGCCGGTACCCACCTTACCCTAACCCTACAGGGCTAACTTAACCAACACCACTCCTACAAAATGGATGTTGTTCTTTTTGTTTGTCAGGCAAGTTGTGAAGTTCACGTTGTGTGTGTATGTGTGTGTGTGTCACACCCTGTTTCTGGCAGGCAGCAGATGGGAAAGGAAGGGGGGGAGAGAGGACCACCATCCTGCTGTTTCCTTCCAAAAAAAATAATCTATCTATCTATCTATCTATCTATCTATCTATCTATCTATCTAT